CATGGAAGACTACAATTCTACTAGTATTTTTAGAGGATGCTAGTAAGGTTGTAATCTTCCATGTGGCACACACATGACGAATTTTTTACTGAAATATTATTTTTTTTAAAAAAATTTACCAAAAAATATTTGTTCCAATTTATTTACACCACTAGTACCCTTTACTGTTTACGCTCAGAATTTGATTTTCCGGGAACCAAATTTTGAGAAGCCTTTTTTTTTATGCGTTTTGGGTTTAGATTATGAGGTAAAATTAGATTCATAATGGGTCATTCTGCTATTAGAACGGATCGTTTCAGATGCAAAAATAACACATGACGAATGGATCAGAACGGGCCGTTCTCGTTAAGAACGGGTCGTTTCAAATTCAAAATTAACACATGACCAGTGGAACCAGAACGGGTCGTTCTGAATCTGAAACGGGCCATTTTGGCCACTTCTGATATCTATAAATAGCAGACTCAGACATTGTTTTTTGGTTCGATTTTCACTTATCAAATACCAAAACTCAGACATTGTTTTTTGGTTCGATTTTCATTATCAAATACCAAAAAAGTTGTTGTGGAAGCAAAATGAACACAGGTCTGCCTTCATTGGTACAACGGTAAGTTGAACACCATCATTATTTACTTTAAATTTCAATGAACTTGTAACAAATTAGTACTAAATTTGTTAATCATTGCAGGAGACTGATAATATTATTAACTCTTACTGTCATTGAATGTCAGAACCCCACCTTCTAATTGTTCCTATACTAAAGGAAGTTGGTTTTTCTGGGGTTGCAAACCTTAGACATCTCAAGGTGGATCACGCATTAGTCACAATTTTGGTTGAAAGCTGGAAGCCTGAGACTCACTCCTCCCGTTGTCCAACAAGGGAGTGCACGATAACACTAGAGGATGTTGCACTTCAACTTGGCCTAAGAGTTGATGGTTTACTAGTCATTGGCCCAACATTATATGACTGGGAAGATATGTGTTTCACGCATCTTAGAATCGTGCCAGTTAAAGGTGAGTCACTAATTAGCTTTGTGATCAAGCTAAAGTGGTTGAGAGAAAATATGTTAGAATTACCAGAGGAACCATCTCAAGAAGAACTTCATGCACATTGTAGGGCATATATATTAGGTTTAATAGGAGGTGTTTTGATGCCTGACAAAACAGATAATAAGGTACATCTTATGTATTTATCTTTATTAATATATCTTAGAAGAACAAGACAATATAGTTGGGGGTCTTCTTGTTTGGCTATGTTATACAGGGAAATGTGTAGAGCCATAGATGTTACCAGCAAAACAATGGGTGGTTGTGCATCTTTGTTACAGTCATGGGCATGGCATCGCATGCCATATATTGCACCTATTTCCAAAGTACCACCAACATTCCCTTTGTTCTGCAAATGGAGTGGGGGTAGAGTATTAAACTTTCAAAGTGTACCTCATAATGATGTTGTTGGATACAGATCAAGGTTTGATCATATTCACGCTGATTAGGTAACTGTTCAAAATCAAAGTTTTATTTGTTTCTTATTTTCTTTTGTTTAGCATATTATCTTAACTAAGAAAGTTTAAATTTTTTGTAGTTTTTATGGGCTCTATATCAAGTCTTGCAAACAACAATACCCATGCAAACATATACAGATGCTCAACTATGGACATCATGTAGCCCCATTATTTGTTTTGCAATTTTTGAATGGCACCAATCAGATAGAGTGAAATTACAATTTTGTCTCTTCCAAGATGTCCCTTCTTCACCCAATAATTTGGATAACTTGCACAAAATTGACATGAGGGAAAAACAAGATGAAAATTGGGTTACAAGACATGCTCAATGGATCGACATATGGAACAATAAATGTGAGCACACATTGATGGGTCATCCAATGCAAGACCCATTGTTTCACACACGAGAATACATGGAATGGTACATGGCCAATTCCATCTATTTCCTATTTGTGCCACGACTACTACAAGATCCAAGGACCCATCAACAACGAAGGACTTCCACAAAATTTGAAACTGGTGCAACTTCCATGCGATCGTATAAAAAGGCTCATCACCATGTATCAAATCCTCCACACAACATCTCCCCACAAGAAAACATAATTGACAGAAGGCATTCGTTTACAACAACTTTAGAGGATTTTTTTACAAATTTATTTGGAGTAGATTTTAGAACTCCATCTTCACCATAATCATACATTCAATCTCTTTACCAGCCGGAATTCGCTAATGAACCTGGTAGTTCTTCAGCAGCATTTCAACAACCAGTGTTTGATGATGAACCAAATCCTTCTTAGCAACAACCTCCACAGCATAATCCAGGTCGTAACAGATGTCGCCCTCGTTGTGGAACTGGACACCATTACAGAGATTAAAAAACTTATATAATTCACTCTATCTTAATGTTATCGTTTTTTACTTTTAATGCACTATGTCTCTTTATCAATGTAATATGCATTTTAATGTTATGCATTATTACTTTTAATGTACTATGTCGCTTATAAACTATTATAATTATATATTATTTGGACATGTCTTCCTAGTGTGATGTGCATGTTATCTAGGCTTGTCATTATTAGCCACAATTTGACTCGTACGAGTTTTGAGTCTATTAAGACAAGGTCCCATTATTATCATCTCGTGTTTTCAAGTTTAAGACACTATAGCTTCATACTTCAAAGGTGTCTCCTTTAAATCTAGCTTCAAACTTAGCATTGCAACAAACACAATCTACCCTTTCAACACAAACACAACATAGTCTCAGAGACTAACATCAAGTAATTAAATTTATTGAATATTAACATTATAAATATAACTAAATAAATTTATTAAAACTCATTACAACAATAAAGATCAATGGTGGCGGAAACTAAATCCATGACCAATATTTGGACATGTCTTGGTAGTGTGACCAGGGGTGTGACAATAGGAACAATTTTTTACACGATTATGTTGTTCTCTAATGTCCATCTTTGTTCTAATCCTGCTAGACTTTGGCCGACTCTTGGAAGTTCTCTTGAGTTCTGGATTTGGCCACAAAGTTGGACCAGTGTAAGTAGGCCAATAATCTTCATGTCAGAGCTCTCTAAATTTTCCTTCGTATACCTTTGCAACTTATTGTAAGGTATATATGGGAGATATGTAGGTTTGATAGTCGTGATGTGTATGTAAGCATGAAGCGAGTACATGCGAGCAAGGGATATGAACTTTCTGAAACTTTCCACAATCACACCACATTTCATCTAGTCTTACTGTAAATCTCCTAACGGGTCGAACTTTTCTCGGATGTTGCGTTTCTTTCACAAGAAATCTAGTGCTTAATCTGTCAAAGGTGATAACTCTATGAGTATTTGCCTTGGACTGTGCATCTTGAATAGTTTTACTTGCAAGTTTAATAGGGTAGCAAAAATGTATGTTAGCCACCTTCTCATAATCTTGTCGATTTGGCTTTGTGTGGATGACTCACTGTAGTCTTTGTAGAGTAATTCCTCTCTTGATACGAACTAATTTTGCAGATGGGGAGGAGAAGGTGACTGTTTTATTCGGACATTGGTTAATGGAATCATCTGAGTGAACAATAATGTAGATTGAAAAAGTCATTTTATGAAGGGTTGAAAGGAAATGAATGTGATTCAGAGGAAAGGCTTAGTAGGGGTAGAGGGAACAATGAAGGAGTGAAGGTAAGGTGAAGCCGAATGAAGAGAATGAAGGGTAAATGACATATTTATAATGGAAGCATTGGATTTCCTGGGCCCATGCGTCAGTAGCCTAGAATGGGCCGTTCCAAAACTAAAACGACCCGTTCCAAACTACTAAAAATGCCTAAAACCCTAATTTAGAATGAGTTATTCCAAACTACTAAAAAGGTTCGTTCTAAATTACTAAAAAGGCCTTTTAAACTTAGGAGTCAAATTGAAACCAAATATAAAATTAAGGAACCGAAAATCTATTTTAATCATTGTAAAATGATCTTAGTTTGGTGAATTATTTCACAATATTAAATGTATTTAATTTATTTAATTAATGTATTTATTATAATCATACTAAAAACAATTCAAATACATGATACGTATTAAATGATGATTTACAAGAAACTAATTAAATAAAACAAATGCATTTATGTATTAAAAAATCCTATAACAATAAAGTTTTCATGCTTACTTTACATTGAAATTTTACTAATTTTACAAAAATATTTTAAATATTTAATAAATAAGTATTGAATATTTTTTTAAAATTAAATAAAAGAAATGTATTTATATCTTAAAAACACATTATTTCATAACAAGGTTGCTTTTATAAATTACAAAAAATATTTTTAAATTTCACCAAAAAGTATTTTTTAAATTTAGATAAGATTTTGAAATGTAAACTAAAATTAAAATATTTTTAAAAATTGTAAAATTCAATTACTTTGTACCATGTAAATTACTTGATACAATGATATTCTCAAATTATACCATAAATTTTCTTATTTTTGGGAACGTTCAATAGGGAGGAGTTTTTCACACCGACAATAACTAAAAATTATTTAATCAACCAAAATATTTTTGAGAATATTCATATAAAATTTTTGATCATTTTTAAAAATAACTAAAATTTTGTATACTAAATACTTCATTTAAATAAATTTGTGAAAGGATTAAACAAATGCTAAAATTTAAGCAACTCATAAAATAGGACAGAGTTGATGTGACAGTGATGTAGTACGGGAGTTACTTATAAATAGCTGATGCTCTAAGTAACATGATAAGAAAAAAAAAGTAAAAAAAAGATGAAATTGAAGGAAAAAAATTGTTTATAATAGCCCTTAAGAAAACTACTTTCAAAACTAGAAGTTGGAATAAATAGGAAAAACTGTTATTACATTTTCTAGAAAACACCTAATTCATTGTATCTATGCTAAAATGGGTAAATGAAAAAAATCAAGACAATCCAGTTGGTGTGATCATGTCAGTACCACTGAATCCTGTCTGTGCAAAATAGACAAAAAAAAAAAAAAAAAAAAAAAAACAAAAAAGACCCAAAATCGCTGTGCCTCCAATCCACGACACTCCTTCATATAAATCAAGTCCCACCAACCTAAACTTCATTTCCTTCAAATCAATTGAACAAAACCTCAGAACATGGCTACTTCCATCCAATTCACAGGTCTCAACTCCTCAAGGGTGCTTCCCATTCCCAACCCATCTCTCCATTTCCCCTCAAACATGCTAAAGTTTGCATATTTGAGAACCCCATCTCCTTCTTCTGTTTCTTGCTCTGTAACCAGAGACCCTTCTTCTGCTTCCTCTGTTGTTTCATTGGAGGAACAGGCCAAAACCGACAATGGGTCGGTTCTGCTTCAAAGACCCGATTCGTTTGGGAGGTTTGGCAAGTTTGGAGGCAAGTATGTCCCCGAAACTCTGATGCACGCACTCACTGAGCTTGAGGCTGCCTTTCATTCCCTCACTGCTCCATTGGAACTGGTTCGACATATCCAGTATGAGCAGCGAATGGGTCTGTGTCAACTTTCATATCCTTCTCTCCGAAAGCAAGGCGACTATCAGTAATCACCTTTTCGATCAAATCCCTGAAACGTACACAGTTGTTAGTCCAATGACCATACATATTATGATATTTGCAAAATTTATTTCCTTTTCTCTGCTCGAATGATGGGATCTTATGATTTTCTGGGAGTACAATTTGTTTATCTTTTAGTAAGATATCAAATATCTTTTCTGCTTTAGTTACGTCGAAACTATATTTCTTAGTCGAATTTCCTTCTACACTATCTCCTGGTTTTAACATTTGACACTGATACGTGGG